ATAAGCCACTTCAAAAATGTTTTACATGGTCTCACCCTACTTTTTTTAAAACAGAAAAGTAGAAAAAAATGTTTTAATTCTTCTGCTGGCATAACATAGTATTTAAAAAAAAAAAGTGTGATTTTTTTATTCTGATTTCTATGTATAGACCTGAAATGTAGCATAAACAGCTACTTAATTAAGCGCTACCAGTTTAAGAGCTCATTATGCAGGCTTTTTGCTGCTCTTCTTTCAGTGTAACGCTGGAAGTCTAAACACTTAATGAGTTGATCGGTGTTGATTAGTCAGGTGGAGCTGTAGATAAAATATTCCCTTAGTTTATCAGTTGTTGCCCCAAAATGTTGCCTTAATCAAAGTGATTGGTGTTGCTTATCTAGTTTCCACAAAATTCCGCAATAAAATCAAAACGGACTTCTTTAAGTCAGCTGACCAGCAACAAGTGTACAGTAGGTTCACTCTAAGATACAGCTGGCAGTTTTTTTTTTTATTGTAGGTTTTTCATAGCATTTTGAAACATAGACACAATATTAAAAAGTCGTTAATGTTTCCTTTGTACAACCAAAGATTTGCTTTACGCTGCAATAAAGACTCTGCCTTCCAGTTTAGATTTAAAAAGTAATTTGGAAGAGATGGCAGTAATTGGCATCCTCACTTTTTGAAATCTTGAATGCTTCTGCCTTTCTCTCTGCAGGGAATCAGTATTCGACCGCTGATTGAGTTCATCAATGTACGCAGAACCAACCGCAATTTGGACACCATCAATGTAGAGATCCACTGCAGGGTATGTTGCAGACCTTTATTCATATTATGTACAGTGCGTGTTGACCGGGAAGTGCTTATACTCTCTGCCCCGTACCTTTCAGGTCATGGAGCACACGATGGCAGGAATAGAGGATCTCTGTGGGCAGTGGAGTCATTTCTATTGGAAGGACAAGTGAGTGTTTTTACATTTCTATTCTGAAGAAAGAGGATCTTTGAGAGATTTTAAAGCTTATTTATATTGGAAATTTGACGGGATGTTGACAGTTGATCAGGTGTTGGTATCGTATTTAGTGCCTGCAGTCAGCCGCTACATTTTTTATTGTCTGTTAATCTGGAAAATTAAGGGTGGACAACAAACTTTTCATACCTTAGTTATTTGATTTTTTTTTTTTTTATACCAAGCTTTACATACCTTAGTTCCTTTTTCTTTTTGTTTAATTATTATTAAGCATTGCAAGTTATTACAACGTGTCCTGTTTCTTTATTATTATTTTTTTATATTTGTATACAAAAAATTGGTGCTATGCCTCAGCAGTAAATGAGGATGATTCAGTCTGCCTTAAAAAGAGAGTTAATTTGCCATGAATCGGTTATATTTTTGAATCCTCACTTAATTTCATATCTGATTTTCGTTTATAACTCTTTCCTCTTCTCCTTCTTCTCCTTTTTGCAATGAGCAGTTAAATCTACGTGTTTATGTCCTTTAACTGGCCTCCATATACTATACATCCATCCATTGCTATAACCATAGGGGGGCTGGTGCTCATATCTAGCTGACGTTAGGTGAATTTAAGGGTGCACACTTTAAAGATTACCAGTTTGTCACAGAGCAGCACATATGACAAACATAACACAGCAACACACAACCCATCCTCGCTCATTTTTTTTCTTTTGGACTATAGAGTACAGCAGGGGTACCTGGTAAGGTGCATGAACAGGGAAAACATGCAGAAAGACCAAAGGCTAATATTCAAACACAGGGCCTTTTGCCAACAGCGCTACTTTGGAGCTATGATCAAACAACAATGTCTGATATTATTATGAGCCAGCTGAAAATAGTGGAGGAAATGGCTGCATACAAAGAAAATAAAATGATTAAAAGTTCTGTGAATGGGAGGCCTCTAAAATCCAGTACCACCTCAACCTGAGAAGCTTCACAAAGAGAATATCAATAGCGTGGGCTTCAGAGAGCAACTTACCAAGAGCTGTAAAGAACACGGCTGGTGTTGAAAAATCTGTCGACGAGATGACTTCAAATTTAGCTTTTCCAATGCGTATAGAGACAGGCAAGACAAAGACCTGTTGATGGGAAGGAATAACCTAATAAAAATGTTGCTTGCAGTTTACAAAAACATGTGGACAAAGTAATTATATTGAGATGAGAGCATATTTAATGCATTTTAAGTCCATATTAGGCAGAAGCTATTACACATTATTGAACACATTGATCCCAGGGTGAAACATGGTGGGAGCAGCATTATGCTGTGATGACTTCTTCAGCAAGGATTGGGAAGAAAGACAAATGGTGTTAAACAGAGGCCAATCTTAAGGCTGGATGAAGACATTGAATGTGCCATTCTAAAGCTACAACAGAGTGGCTTATGACTCATACATTGTCCTTTGTTGGGTCTAGTCAAAGCCCAGACACGACTCCCAACTAGGAATCTGTACTGGGGCTATAAAACAAATGTGTGTAGATTCCATCCATAAAATCCTACTGAGTCGTAACTATGTTACGAAGCAGAACTGGCAGGACATCAGTCCACATGTGCAAATCTTGACAAAATAAATCTCAAAACCCTGAAAGCTTTAATATCAAAGGTTGGTTTGGACATTTGTTTTCATCCATAGCTCTGTGAACAGAGAATTTGTTTTATACAAAACAACATATACTATAATAACAGTGGGTCTGTTATCTCAAATTCAGGTTCATGAGGTTCAACAACCGAATACTTCGTCGGATACTTATTCGAGACGCCAGGGCGGAATCCAGTATCGTGGCGCTGTACAAGAAGCTGGAGCTGCAGAATGCCATAGAGGTCCTGGACACAGTGTCTGGAGAAATCAGCGCTGCTCCGTCCGTCATCTCCCTCCAGTATGAACCTTTGATCATAAACCGTACCTTCTAATTGTATGTATAGACCAACGAGTAACAAAAAATTTTGTCTTAATATCTCTTTTTGGAATTTAGGGAGGAGCAGAAGGAATCTTCTAAACAGAAGATGAGTTTAATGACTGAGGACCTTAAAAACATGCATAAAATTCTGTCCAAAAATATGTACAAGATCCGGCAGCGGGTAAGCTAAACAATTTGTTTCAGTTTTTTTTAAAGGAAAACGCATTACAGCACTGCTTTTGCATTATTTAGAATTGATACCAGTTATTTATTTAAACAGACTCAAGCATTCATAAGCATATCTTTCAATGTAGAATCATAATTTTATCATGAAATACTGTAAATTTTTATTTTTTTTTTTGTATTACTGGGTTTCTTGTGTACTCTTTCAATAAATACAGACATCGATTTATTTCATCGATTTATTTCAAATAAGAGAGTAGATATGACACATCATGCAGGAGGAATGATGGAGTACGACAAATGCATATAAGGGGAAGTTTATTCCCAATTTAATAGCTAAAGAAAATGATATTGGCTATTGATTTTAAAATGTTAACATTACATTTGTTTTTGGCCAGTGACGCAAATAAATATGTCACTGCTGGAAAGTATTCAAAACCAGGTTCTGCATTAAAATACAGCATGACAGTTTTAGTTATTTTAGCATGGATTATGTGACCTATAGAATGCCATAAATCATATCTGTAGCAAGTCTAACATTTATCACAGTAGCTGGATCTTTATTGACAGAAACTTCAACATCACTCTTAGGTCTTTAAAAGTGTGAGTCAGGCAGAAGGAGTCAACCAGGAATGCCGTTTCTAAAACAGGAAGTTTTAACTCTGTCTGTAGACAACAAAGGTTCTTCTTTAATAATCCAGATCTGACCCAGTGAAGAGGAACTTCCTCAGACACATTCAGAAAGTGATGGTGAAACATGAAAGCTCTAAACACTGAAACCCGGTCTTGTTTTGCATAACGGCAGCATGTCGCCAGCAGTACTTTTCCACCAGGGACAATGACATCAGCTCTTAAAAGACTCTTTGATGTGCAGGCAAACAGGAATCATGTGCCTTTATAACCAGCTGGCATGTTGTCCACTCACATGTTTTATTTTTACATATTGACAGTAATGTTATGGTTGCTTTTTGTCTATGTCCTGTACATTAGCTAAACTCCGCTTGTCACAAACATAATTCTATATGGATATATCATCTACTAGCCTCAAACTTTGAGATGTAATAAAAACATTGATTTTGATTTAATAATAAAGTCATATGTACAGTATAGGAGCTTTTCTGTTTCACAGCGGGTTTGTTTCTTATTGATGGAAATGGTTGTTCTGCAGCATCCGAGGATCATTTAATGGCAGTTTGCAAAGAGCAAACACAGATAGTGCCCCTTGTTGCTCAGACAGGTGTGGTCAGTTTTGGTTTGGTAATCTGAGCTTCAAAGATTGTCGTTTTCCCCCTTAAACCCCTTTAGTGGTCTATTTAACCAAGTCATGATTTTCTCCAGAGAATGAGGCTGTAAACAGATTTCTGCAAATGTCCACAGTAGCCAAGCTTAGCAAAATGTGTTATGAAGATCTTCATATTTAGCACACCAATGTGAATAATGTCTTATTTTTTTGTTGTTTATGTATACAGACTGTGGCATTCACAAGTAAGCACGCTCTGCCCAATGACAGCCAGCCCAGAGAGATCCTGATTCGACGCCACGCCAGCATCCGGCGAAGCCTCCGTCCTGGCAGCTTTCAGTCCACGGTAATTTCAACCTCAAGACTTCAGTGATTCTTCCTAATGCAAGGGTGCCCCTCTTTAAATTACTACTAAATAATGCTACCATTTAAGATAGAAATGTGCATGAATAGCAGAAGTTTAACTTTAAATAGGTGAGTAAAAACCCAGAAAAACTAATGGGATCTAAAAACAGTCCAGAAACAATTACAACTTACTTTTATCAGCCTGGAGGAACTTTAGACAAGGTTCTATTATCAATAAATTATTTATATTCTCTAAAATGAATTAATATCTTCAGATCATTTATGATATTTCTGGCATTTTTAGCATGTTTTGTGTTTCTAATACTTTAGAAAGTGATAAAGTCAATCCATGAATTGCTTCATTTTGATCACAAAAATTGGTAAACGGTGATTATGTTAACAATTGACCTACTGCCACAATATATAAAATGAGGCTATTTAAATTAGTTTAATGGAATCTGGTGTTTAAAATGCAAATGTTTCAGCATTTTTTTTTTTTTGCATACTTCTTTTAAACTTAATGTTTGTCGGTGTGTGTAGGCTCATTTTGTTTCTTGGTGGTGGTTTTAATGTTGACTCCTCCCACTAAGGGTAACCTTGCTTTTAAATTTCCTTCTTTGTGTAAAACCTGACACTAGCTTGGAAAATGGAGACTCATTAGAGCTGTGGCTGTGACAGCTGAGGTTATGAACAGACACTCTAAAGTGGTATAACTGAAATATTATGAAAAAGCAGAATATCTGTTCATCTGGGGTTGGTTATCTAGAGTTACTGTACTGTAAGTTTTATTTATTGTATTTTTAAAACTTTATCTGTAATTTACCTGTTTCTTCTATTGTTACCTCTGAATTTCTCGGGGATTAAGAGAGGAAAATATATTTATAAAAAATCTAGAATTAAAAAAATTTGTTTATAAAAAAAAACTAATTTGGATAAATAGATTAAAAATATCAATTTATCTGATCAGTATCTTAAATAGTTTTGGTACAATTAAATCATAAGTAAAATTAAAACGATGGTTTGTCAACTCATCCCAAGTTTTTATCTAATTAATGAAAGAAAGGGACAATTAGAAGAATTTTATGAATTATTTTAAAACTTTGGCACACAGACCTTAGCAGGAAACATTAGCACTGAATTTTACTGTAATATGCATAAGCAGGTATATGAGAACAGGGAAGTTTCCCCCCAGGCCTGAAACTGTTGGAGTGGAGATGGATGAAGTTGTTCAGTCCATAGACGGCTGGTTTGTGAGACGGTCTGCTTTAGCTGTATTGGTGAGATCCAGTAGACTGTGTGTGCTGATACTGGTGCTTTACTCAGGGACCCGGAAGATAGATGTCCAGCTTGGATAAACACAGGTTTGCAGGAACCTTAGATATGATGCTGGTGAAGGGAACGGAGGTGGGTTGAATCGGATTCATCAGAGTCCAAATCAGAAACACAATCACCGCTTGTGCTTGGCTGGGCAGCAGACAGAGTCATGGACTTGAGGACCTTTTAAGATGAACTCTGGATGCTGATTGGGCTTTGTGGAGATGCAGTTCAAAGCTTATTGGTTTGCGTCAGAGGCAGATGAGCCTCTCATGATGAGGGCAAGTAGTTTAGTTTCTTGACTTGAACTTACGCTTAGGCTTCATTTAAGTGATTAAGCTGGAAATTAAAGACTGTGCAAGGTAACACACTTACATTCTTTACAATTGTATTAAAATAATATTTTCCTCAAGAATTACAGAAGTTTTTCCACTTTCATTTTGTCCTTAATGTTTATGTTTAAGATCCACTTCTGTAGAAACACAGATAATCCTGAGAAACTAAGGACTGCAGTTTTTTTTTTACATTTACCTAAATCTGATGTAAGTTGCTGGAGGTGAAACAGAAGCTCTTGTACTAATTTTCTCTTATTTGGTATTTTTCTTTCCAGATGGTTCCAAAGTCTCAGAAATATTTTTCACTTCCTGCTGGACAGAGTTTAGGGTCAAAATATCCTTCCTCTCGACTGAGTCATGCAGGTAAGCTTCTGAAACAAATCCTTCACACTCTTCCATTAGGTACGTATAACATGATTATTAAAGCTCCTTTGATAACTTTTAACACATTAAATGTTAAAACAAGAAACACAGATTTATTAGAACTTCATGTGACCAAATATTAGAACAATACAACTGGGAAGTAAAGGAAGAACGACACATGGTTGGTTCTTTAATTGCTGCTTTATTATTTTTATTACTTCTTGTTTCTCCTTCTTTTCATCTCAGATAAACATGAGACAATGTCAGAGGTAGCCTATCCTACTCGACGCTCTCGACTCAGTCATTCCAAACGCTCTTCGTCTGGAGCCATGATGCCGCTTCACAAGCTGGGAACACTAAAAGAAATGCCCTCTACTGATGACCTTGGCATGCACCAAACTACCTCCTCCAACAGTGATCCCTCTTTCCCATCCTCCTCTCCACACCATGGCCCTCCTGTTGACAATAACAATGGCTCTGCAGACAGCTTAAGGAATGAAAATGAGGCAGAAGAGGAAAATGGGCTGCGGCAGCAGGAGGCTTTATCACCACCAAGCTGGGCAGCCGAACCCAGAGACAACACGCCTCGAAACCCTCTCCTTAGGCGGCCACATTGGAACCCAAAAAAGTAAAATCCAACTGAACCACATTGTTAAAAAAAACAAAAACTTCTTGTTTTAGTTTCAAATGTGAAGGTAAATTAACGATGGAGGTCTTTTCATTTCTACCTGAAGACGAAAACATTTCGTAGGAATACCTCGCAGAAAGAGGTGCCATGCACATCAGAAGCTCGGTGCAAAATACTGACTGAACTGTTTGCCTTATTGATGAAATTTGAGCTTGTATTTTAGCTATTATTCTTTCTATGAGGATTTTTTTTATTGTTTTAAACTGTTGAATAAAATTTTTATTGAGAAAATATGTCTTGTTTTTGCGGGTAAATATTATGGCTCTCTTTTTTTTTTTTTTCCCCCTCAAAACTGAGGAAACTTTATTTCTTTGTACCTTAATAATCAGATCAACTGGTATATATGGCACAAATTTAAGCATTTGTCCATTTCATTTTCACTCCGCTGTAACTAGAGATTTTAATGCAGAAATGAAATAAATTGGAGAATGTGTGAAAAGACAGAGCAACGCTACGACTGAAAAGGAGAGGGAGAAGATTAGTGCTCAATGCATGTTTTTTTATATGAAGACAGGAAGTTTTAATATTTATTAAAAGCGCTCTCCTCTCTGTTGTCCCATTTGTAGATGACTACAAAAGGATTCTTCCTGATCAAAATCCCAGTCCTAGTTGGACATTTAATGGTTTTCTGAATTACATATTTGCAGCAGAAACTGAATTTCAGAAAGTAAAAAAAATATATATTTTTTAACTCTGGAAATTAATGCCGCTCAATATTTAATTAGATCCTTGTCTAATGGACATTTTGTTTGTTTTCAACATCTAATGTGTCTAACAGACGTAATGAATGATTTTATTTTTATTGTTTGAATAAAACTACAACAAAACTCTGGAGTAAATCAGGAAATTAAACATGATTGGCTCTAAGGAAGGAGGAAATGGGACACGGAGTTTGAGCAGTAAAAGATTGTTGCTCAAGATAATGCATAGGTTTATATAAAGGGCTATGGCAGGCTGTTTTTACATTTATTAAAAGCACTCTCTGCTGTTCCATTTGTAGATCACTAAAATAAGATTCTTCCTGATCTAAATCCCACTTCTAGACTGAACTATAATCTATTTTCTATCGTACATTTTTGCTACTGAAACTGAATTTTAGAAAATAAAAACTATACTAGTAAAAATTAAGTTTTGCATAACTAGTTAAACATAACTATAACTAATTAAATATCCTGACATTTTACAGCTTGACTAAATATGTATTTATGATATCTGAAATACATTTCTTCATTGTTAAAATAATACAAATGCTGACCAGTAAAATAGGAACAGAGACATCTGAAATTAATTTCTAGACATCTTGAAAGTTTATTCTATACGTGAAGCATGTCATTTTCATTTTGAATTGATTTGAAAAAAATATTTTTTTAGACATCAGGAATATGTGTTCAGTAAAACTAATACATAACAAAATGGCTTGCCCTATCCTGTTGTGACCACAATAACATTACGGAATAATTTCTTGAATGGTAGTAGATCAATTTATCCATTTAGGTGAAATCATTTGGCAGCAGGTGAAGATAAAGAATAAAAAATGCTGTTCTAGAACATGTCATGGGTTCTCAGTTTGATTTTGACTTTAAATACTAGGTTTCTGTTTGAAACCGCTTTGGATGTTACCATCCCAATAAATGGTCTTTATTAGCGATTTTCAGTCCCATAGAATGGCTTCAGATTGTGCCAATAGGTTCAGTAGGTTGTTATCACAGAGTGAATCCCAGTGTTGTATAATAACAAAGTAAAAATACTTCACTACTGTACTTAAGTATATGTTGGAGTACTTTATATTTTTAAAGAGTATAAATATTTTTGAGAACTTTTACTTTTACTTCACTACATTTACGAACTTAATTGCATACTTTTACTCCAATACATTTTCAATTTTTGGTTTAATTACTAAGTAAAAAAAACAAAAACGAGCGAGATAAACGCAAGTGTTTTAACCCCACCTACTGACTACAAAGTCTGGTCTTGCCTGGGCTTGTTCATCAACACCAATAGGATACACCTGTTTCGCAAAGCCAGTCTAAATTTATCCTAGACTTGGTTGTTTATATTATTTTAAGTAAATTTAACATTCAAAGTTTACCAAAATGTCATTCAAACTGCACTACTTTTTACTTATACTTTTCACTACATTACTTGGGTACATCTATTTTTACAGGAATCCTTATACTTAAGTACAACCCATTTCAGATACTTTAAGACTTTTACTCAAGTAACATTTCAGTCAGTGACTTGGACTTTTACCAAAGTCTTCAAGGTTTCAGTACTTTATACAACACTGGTGAAACCCAACCCTCAGGAGTTTTTGGTAAACCTGCTTGGTGAAACGGACCCCTGGACTACAAATCCTGTATGAACAGAGAAAAAAAGGAATGAACATAGATGAAAAAGCAAACTCCTGCAATGCATTACTTTCCAAAATTGATGTCATATAAGCCTAAAATACATATGTTTAACAGTTTTACTTTGTTGAGAATAAAAAGTCATTCTGAATTAAATCTAAAGAACAATTTTGATATAAATTCTTTGTTTAAATTTTAATGAATTAATCATTCTTTGTACCAACTGAATGTAAGATATAATTAAACTTTAAGGACTCTTAAGTTATAGTGAACAATTTATTTTAATGTGTTGACAGACATTTACAGGCATTTTAGACTTGACATACATACTTTAGTTTGTGTTTACACTATAACGTCATTCAATATTCTTCTGACTGTACTTTTCTATTTCATTTGTTTTGAATACAACAAAAAAACTCCTTCATTCGAATATGCTATTTAGGTTAATACACCAAACAATTGACCAGAGAACACAACATAAAAAAAAGCAAAACATAAAATTAAAGATAAAAAAAAAAAAATGAAAATTGCCCCTTTGGTTTATATTTTATGTTCTAATCAGGAGGATTATCTTTTGAACCACACCACAAACCATTGACTTTGTATTGCAAAAGAAAAGCAGGCACTGAAATACAACTTCTTACAAGATTATTACCAAAATCTAAAGTGGTTGATCTAAATCACAAAAATTAAATTAATAATATACGAGATGGTTCTGTATAAAAAACCAAAGAAAAGTTTTGAACAGATTTTCATTAAGTAACTTTGGCACCTTGCCTTTTATTAAAAAAAAATGCTATCTAGGATTTCTGTATTATCTTAAAAATAATAATAGGTAAATAATAGGTAAAAAAAAAATAAAAAATCAACACATACAGTAGGTATAGTGCCTTCTTGCCTTGTGAAAGCATGTTTTTTTTTTTGCCAGGAGAAAAGAGTTAGAGAGAGCAAGACTTAACTCTTTTGCAACAGCCTTTAAACTCTGTAACAACAGTGCCTGGTGGCCTTAATGCAAAGGTGCCTGTTTATCGTTATACTAAGGTACATTCAACTAACACATTAGTCACCACTAATTTCTATTTATTCATTCGATTGCTGATAGCCTGTTGGTAGTACGGGGTGGTGTAAAGCCAATGCCCAACATATTGGTACTCCCTAGTTACACTGGTCGCAATGTAAACAATGCATTGACTACAGCACATTGCATAGTCAGTAAGAAGTCAATAAAGTCTATAAATCATGTAATATAACATATTACACAAATTCATCACAACAAAATTAATGTGTTAATGGAACACAATAACACAGATGTGCCAAAAGTGCTAAATTGACAATGTACATGTAATATGCATGTGTTGATGACAATGTTATGGTAAATAGATATTACATATTTCAAAATTTTACATCAAGACTGAATTAAAAGTAAATGTCTGTTAATGCTATAGTATTTTCCTTCTTGCAAATTATGCATGAATTATTGGCATATACTTTAAGGCTGTCTGTACATTAGCTTTTAAATATGTTTAAGTTGCTTTTTTCCATCAATATAACATGCAATATATTGCAGCACATGACTTTCTGAAATGAGAAATACAGCAAACCCTACAAAAACGACAGCGTCATTCACTTAATAAAGAATTACTACATTGACATTTCACAGAGGATTACTTTCTATATACTCTACTTTCTATTTTCTAACATTAGACAGAGTGTTGATGGATAACTCAGTCAATGTCTTCCAGTCAGTCTGAGATAGCCAGACTAATGTTACTATTACTGTTACATGGATTTTTTTTTGGTTAGTACATCCACTGACGGTGAAATTACCTGTGAAAAGTATTCCCATAGCTGACAAACTGCTTGTTTTCACATCTAAATGCTACACACATAGACATTTTTATGGAGTGTCTCAATGGGAGTGGGGAGTACCAATATGGCGTCCGGTGGCTTCACTGTTTTTGGGCTATCAGCAATCCAGTTAATAAATAAAGATCAGTGCTAGAAACACATAAATGCCACCTAGTGGTCAGATTGTGCATGAAACACCAGTTGATTTTGTGGTATTACAGGGCAGATATCATGAAAAATATACTTTTCTGAGCTTTTACTTATGTTATAATGTCATCATTTTATCTAAATCATGCAAGAAGATTGTGGTATCTGGCTTGATTCAAACATCTTTTCAGTGATCCTAATGACTGAATAGGAACTGTATAGGAGGCAGCCCCTCCCTCACCTGTCATAACAACAAGGCTATCTACAAAAAAAGAAGGGCCCCCTACAGTGAGCAGCTACCTTGAACATGCTGTTCCTGTACTGTAAAAAAAAAAAAAAAGCCGCCTTGTCGGATTGGAGAGGGGTGATGAGGCAGAGCTTGATGGTTCTGGCTTAAAGTTGATCTTAGGGCTAATCTGAAAATGACAGCCTAAGTCTCCATTTTAGTTAACGTCTAAGTCAAAATATGCTTTTAGGCCTTCCTAAGTGGTGTAATAATAGGTGGTTCCAAGATGGGAAAGGTGGTTTCGCTTTAACAGAAAGTGTTTTTCTTTAGGGGTTAGAAGAAAAAAAAAACTTTATTCAATAACAAATCAGTACACACGTAGCTCTAAATGCTTGATTTGTTCATATATTTGCCTATAGGTGACTTTGAAATACGAAAAGAAGCTTGATGATATGATGATGGAGCAGAGACAAAACTGATCTGAAATCAGTTTCATTGCTCTGCTTAGCAATTGCAGACTCCATGAATAATTCAGATAAATGAATTAATCTGGTTACCTTTGGTCTCAGTTATGCCTATTGTCACTAATTTGAATGAAACTGTAACAGCAGGTAAGTAAGTCACACTGAAACCAGGGTCCAGTCACAAACCTCATATCAATTCAAATCAACCAATTAGGAAATGCTTTTTTCCATTATATGCAACTTCTCATGGTGCGGATTTTAACACTTACAACTGCAAACTCCAGAACATAACATTAGCTTAGCCTCAACAGATTACAAACATTAACAATCCTTTGAGACAAAACTAGGATTAAATGGTGAGATATTTCCCCGTCTTGATATCACCCAGCAGCCCTTGCGGCTACTCTAACCTCACAGGACAATACAATACCGCAAAATAAGATATATTTAAATTGATAGTTTTTAATTAATTTAGTGACTGCTAGTCAGAAAAAAAAACATAAAACATATTTCAAACAATCATAAATAAATGTAGACAGTAATGTGTTAAGAGCAAAAAACAGGAAATCTGAACAGATATAGAATGTAAACCAAGAGTTTCTTTTAAAATAGTAAAACTTTTTTATAGTATTTAATAACAAAGACACATAATTAATGATGACAATCAGCTTAAAGACCTCAAACAATTAAATGCTGCTCATGTAATTTGTAAAGACCAATCACAATCAATTGAACATTCACATAACTTTTAAAAAACTTAAGTCTGGGAATCATTAACATAGTAATGATCAGTGCATCTCTAATGAGAGTTTCAGTGGTGTTTCCCCTCTGCTTTATCTTTATAATTCAGTAGTTTGTTAGGTTTGTAGTGAATGATTAGTGGTCTTCTCATTACTTCATTAAATTTGAATTAGGTAGTGCCTACAGAGCTAAACTAACAGCATGGTGTAGATTATTGCAATAACCAGGACAATAAGATAAGGCCCTCACTGCATGTTTCTGTTTGATCAAAGTTCAACAAATTTGGAAGCACAATAAACTTTGCATCCTTTTGCTCCAAGCTGCACAGATTTTTTTTTTTGGTTCCAGTGTCCCTGAGAGAAGCAGATGCAGGAAGTGGAGGCACCCATGGCATCAACCATGCTTCAGCATGAAACACTGAGGGTTTGCTGTCCATTACAGCTGCCTGCTGCAAATAATTGCACTTCTCAAAGTGATATATTTGCATAGTAAAAAAACAACAACAAAAACATTCAGTTGCAAGGAGTTTTTAAAGTTTTCCTGTTTTTGTCCGTCCTCCACCATCCCATTTCGGGATTCTGATGAGAAGCAAACCTACAGCTGCCAAGGCGAGCACGACTCCCAAGCTAGCAGGACCACAGGGGCTGATCTCCTGGGTGAGACCGGAGAGGAGCGGGGCCAGAACTCGACCCACGGCTGTCACCGACTGGCCGGCTCCAATCAGAGTTCCGCTGGCGTGGGCCCCTCCCCTCTGAAGCTCCAGATCTGTGATACACGTCCGTCCGATGGAGGTAGAAATGGCAAAGAAGGTGGAGGTGAGCACAACCTGCCACACGCTTGGAGCGGTGGCGTAAAGTAAAATAAGCGAACAGGTGAGGACAGTGGAATGAAGCAGCAGAGCAGGCATGTTGTTCCTGTAAAGCTGAGTGACGGGCCCCACCAGGAACCCGGCCAGGGCCCCTAAGGTGCTGCTGTAGCTGATCAGATAACCTGTCATCTTTGGTTTCATAGAGAAACGCTCCTCCATGGCCAGAGAGAAGTTACTGTAGTACAGCATAATGGCTATGGCCATCAACAGACGCACGAGAAAGAGGTCCCACATATCAGAAGAAGCCACCATATGAATCCTGGAGCTGACTGAGGTAAGCTGCTTCCATGCAGGCTGGAGCAGAGACACCTCCCTCCACCTGAGGCGAGGCTTCCGGGCGGATCTACAGTCTGCTTCAGTTACTGTGGTCAATCCTGAGTGATGGTTGTTTGCATGGAGGCCATTTTGTGCAGACTTGGTACAGTACTCATTGTGACACACCTTACTGCTGTTATTGCTGATGTTGGTTTCGTTCCGATCGGTTATTTTCTCGCTTTGTGGCAGCATCCAAACCAGGCCTGGAAATCAAAAACTCAGCTTCAGATAACAGTTTCTTAAAGAATAATACAAAATGTGCAATATCTCAGCATTTTGAGCTCACCGGCATTGATTAGAAAGATGGCTGCACATGTAAAAGAGGAGGTATAAAAGCCTCCTTCATGCTCAGTGAGGTAGCCGCCTACTACAGGACCCAGGATGAAGCCCACACTGGAGGCTGCATTAAAATGTCCCATCACCAGAGGGCGCTCTGATTCAGACACCAGGTCTGACAGCAAGGCTCTGCAGATGGACAATGAGTGCTTGAATAGTCCTAAAAACAAACAAAAGAAGGAAAACTCTTGTTCACTTTTAAGCAGTTTCCAGGAAAATAATGCAGAATTTCTACAAATGTTTTTATATGTGTATTTTTTTTAGCATCTCAGTTTGCTCTGAGACCACTAAAACCAGTCCAGTACAAATGACTGCCCCCTCATTAGTAGATTCACTCCACCTGTGTGGAATTTAATTTTGGTATAGATCCAGCTCTCAAGGCCTCTAAGGATTATTGGATAAAAAGTTACATTTAGGTGAAAAGACGAGCAATGCCTTTCACATATCACTGTCAAAACAACAGACTGATCAAGGAAAGTAATGGGACGACTGCAAAAGGACATGGCCATCCTAATGAAGTTAGAGAGAGGCAGTCCACTGTAACAGTGAAATCCCACATCCTCCACAACCTCCCTGCTCCGCCCCACCCCGCTGCAGACCGCCTGGGCAAAGCAAAGCCTGCAGCTCCGAGTTTCCTCCCATCTTGCTCCGCTCCGACTTCCTTAAAGCCTGCCTAAACATGCTGCAATGAACACTTCATTTAATGACAGTTAAAACTCATCAATCACATATGTTTCTTCCCAAACATTATTTTTTCGTTGTGGGTCTTTGTAATAGGGATAATTAGGACCAGAAAAAATTGGTTTGTTCTCTATTTCCAAACTCAGCATCTCTTCATCCATGCCTGCGATAAGAAGTTTATTTTGAAATTTCGAAATGCGCTGTTGAAAGTTGTTGTGACTGGATTCGATGAAACTTTTTATCTTAGTATGAAATAAACATTTTGATCGATGATGAGAAATCTGCTTCCTAGTATGTTGAAGTACAGATAGTTTGTATCCAATAATTTAATTAAACGGACCAAGTTTTTGGGAATATAGAAGAATTATGCTCTAATTTGTAGTTACCGATCTGTTGTTACCATATTTTAATTTGACAAACCGGATCTTCACGCCGTTTTTTTTCTGTTTGGTGCGATTGTAATTGCAGATCTTGAGCTGGCCGGACAGGAGCGGAGCAAAAAAGAGCTCGGCTCTATGTTTTGACAGTGACGGACGGAGAAGACGTACTGTACGTGGACGGTGACATGCTAGGAGTAGCGGTTGATGTTCTCACAGTTCTCACCGATTAACATGACTGCACAAGGGATCCACACGACATACGTGAGCGGGGTTGAGCGGTGACAGAGGATGTGGAATCTGGGGGTAACCCTGCAGAAGCTTTAGAGCTTCATACAGAGATACGAGAAGCTGAACAGAATTTAGATGAAGATGGATGGAGCTAAATCCTGGGTTCACCTTGCAGCAGGATAGCAACCTTCTAACAGAATGACTTAGATCACACTCAAGTCCTCAAGTACCAGAATCCTACAACCATTAGATATGTCTATACTCCAACACACCTGAATAAAAAGGCTTAATTTCCTCCTCAATTTGGAGTCAAGGGGTCCCTCCAAATACTGAAAATCAATTAGGACACTTAAGCCAAACAGGATGTATGCCAACAGTCATCATAAGTGCTATCCAAATAGTGCTGGTAGTAAGGTAGGAGGTAGGAAGAGGAATCAGGAAGCCTCCTTTCATCAGTACAGTCCTAGCTGCCGCTAGGATGTACACGGTTTCCTGCAATCCTTTATGTGGCAGAACATATAGGCACAAACTAACTTTATAGAGTTATTGAAAAATACATTTTCTTCACAAGTAGTCTGTGTGACAAAAACGAGAGCTAGCAACTTGTTTTTTTGTAGGTCGTTTCTGGAAGGCTGTTCTTCCAACTTGAGTAGTGTTTTTCATGTACGTAAGGCTGAGGGCGGTCCAGATACAGTACAGCAGTACGGAGCTCTGCTCCTACTCTGTTTTTCTTACTGTTGACATCATGAAAGGTGAAGGGATGGAAGCTAAGAAAAGGAGGGAGGGGCGACAATTTGCCAGTGACCTGATTATTCAACTCATGTGTTTTAAAGCAGAAACGCATATAAAAGGTGAAGGACACCGACCCATGAGCATCAGAGTTTAAAAGCTCTGTCTTAGATCAAAGAATACTCATGAGTTTGAACGGCCTAGTTAAAGTAAAGACCGGAATCTGGAGTTTATCTTCACATGAGCGCTCAGTCCAATCTGAATAAACCTGAGTTAATTTACAAAGAAATGTTGAGGGGAACAAAATAGAGAATCTCTAGATCTGAAAAGCTTTAACTTTTGCAAAAGATGGCTATAGAAAGAACTGCCAGGGAGCAGGGACTCTGACATCATCATTTAGAGGAGGTGTTTACTATAGAGGAAACTTTAAAAAGGAAGTAAGCGACCCCCAGCAACCATGTAACGGTACGCAAATATAGGCAATCGATGGAGTTCCTTTCCACTTTAGTTACCCATAACTTTAGATTGATCTGTCACATTAAGTCTATATGAATCACATTAAAGGTGGTGGTTGGAATGTGATCAAATGTGAGACCTTTAACTCACCTACAGGTATTCTTGCAAGCACAAACAAAGTGATGCTTGTAGAAATCCCAAGGAGGCCATAGCCGAAGGCGCTCAGCAGGATAGAGGTCAGCAGGGAGTAGCGCCGCCCCACCACGTCGCTCCAGCTGCCCTGCCAATCAAATGCAAACCCATTCAGGGACGTATCTACAAGATCTTAAAACCTGGGACATAAAAGTGTTCTTAAATTGTCAATAACAGATTTAGGACAAAGAAAAGCCTGTCTCTTACTCTCTCTTCCTCTTAGTCTATAAAGTGACTAAATGTTTACATCTGAAAAATCAAACGATTTAGAAAGAAATTTGAAAAACCTCTACATTTCCTCTGTGCCGTGCAGCTGTGGATTTATTCGATTCTCACCCTCCCTCTCTCTCTCTCACACAGATACACAACAATGATGAAACAGTGAAATGAGGAGCAGCTGAGCTACTCTGTGCTGTGGATGGAAACTTGTGGGATTACCATAGTGGCCTAGCTGTTTATATCATCCCTACATTGATGGGGATCCAGCCGGTCTGCATGATGGCACCAACAGATGACTCTTTGTTCTTAATTGGTCGCATGATCCCTGAAAATTAAACTAATTTAAGGAGCTGACGGCAGCCGCAGCAGAAGGCGGTTAAGAATTCAACTAGAGATGTCAAAACCTATTGTGCACCGTTTCTTACTTCTTTCATGCATCAAAAGGATTAATTCATTTATAAGTATCCTCACTGCGGGGTGGGGATAACGTTTGAATGTTATTTATTTAATAAAAGAAGAATTTTGCAGCTGATCAGGATTTGTGTTTGTGTCCAAGTGAACACAATGAATCCACTGTGTGATCACAATTGATTCACAACGACTAGTGTTTTCAGTTTCCACCAGCAATTCAGCCATTTTGGCCACTAAAACTGCGCTTGTCCTGTTTAGCATGGGAGTCCCACAGAAAGGGAGGTAAAAGAGAAAAACAAAGTAATACTCACTACTATTGTGCTGGAGAAAAGCTGCAACATTCCATACGTAGAGCCTGTAAAAGGTGTGATAATTGTTTTAAGTTTGGATCAAATTACAAACAATAAACTTGAAGGCATAAGATCACTTCAAGGTTCACAGATATTTACAAATATTATTGAAAAAAGTCCAAGTTCAAGTCCAAGAAATGTACCAAGTTTTTCAGGGTTTCAATTCTTTTCTTGCCCTGAGAGGCAAGATCTTTTTTTGCCTTTAGTGTGCCTCTAGTGGCAAAACAAAGTATTACAAACAAAACATTTAAAAAAAAAAATTACCGTACAAACAATAAACTTGAAGGCATAAGATCACTTCAAGGTTCACAGATATTTACAAATATTATTGAAAAAAGTCCAAGTTATTAGTTATTTATCATCTCTAAAATATTTAAGGTGACTGTAGCGTTCGTTTCATCATTTGCATTTGCATACGCTCAAGTAAACTCAAAAAACTATTTTGTTTTTATGGATCCATCCAATCTAAATTATCTAAAGAGACAAAAATACAAAAAAAAACAAAAAAAAACAGTTTGTTTGAAAAGGGTTTAAACCTACTAATTTAGAGGAGTTTTTAATTTCTTTTACATTTCTTAACTGTTGCTTAATAACTGGATCTACATCTTCTGGCCATCACCTCTCTATAATCTATTACTTGGTCACATTAAAACCACAAACTAACGTGTATTTTACCTGGATGTTTTAACCTCGACCAATACCTAACTAATTCAGGTCATCTTTGGTTCATTTTAAATAACTGATCTGTAATTTTCTCTGTCCATCTTACACTAGATTCTTAACATTTTCCTCAAAGTGTTTGGTTTTTCTTGTTCTCTCACCTGAACTTGCAATCTTTGCAGCCATGTTCTTTTTAAAACAATATTTCAATGACGGGTATCAAAAAGAGGGCTGAATGCACTTGAATGAGTGGAAATATCTGTATTTCAGATTTAGAATTGTTAATAGTCATGCATCTTATTGCGTTGGCCTTTCACATAAAATTCCACTACAATACACAGTGATTTGATGTAAAAAAAAAAAAAGGCCAGATTCTGAATCATTTTGCAGCTATTTATTCCATAATCATTTAATTCAATTCAAAAATACTTTATTAAAGGGAAATTAAATGTTGCAGTAACAATTTTTTTAAATAGGTGTTGTAGGTGGTGATAGTTGTAGGCAGGGAGGATCTTCTGTAGCGGTCTACTCCAATGTGCAGCCACCTTAAGCAGCTCAATTCTAGAATAAGATAATTACGATTTGAGATAATTACTGTAATTACCCTGAAAGACAAGAAAAAACAAATCTGGGTAAGAAATGTACCAAGTTTTTCAGGGTTTCAATTATTTTCTTGCCCTGAGAGGCAAGATCTGTTTTTGCCTTTAGAGTGCCTCTAGTGGCAAAAACAAAGTATTACAAACAAAACATTTAAAAAATTAGCTTTACAAAAAATTATTTTTTCACTTGCCTTTCATTACTTCCATCTTAACCTTTAGTGAAAAATCTGATTCCTTTTTTACTTGCATTTTAAGTGGAAGATGGAAGTTTTATGAACTAAGTTACTCATTTTATCATTCTTTATAGCATTCTGTTAGTCATCAATTACTAAGTAATTTGAGGTGTCTAAGGCTACATTCACACTGCAGGCCTTAATGCTCAATTCCGATTTCTTGTGAAATCCAAATTTATTTCCAAATATATGCGACTTGTACGTGATCTCCGGTCTGAACTATATTCATACAATGCAAGTGTCCTGAATGCACAGTAGAAGATGCAATGACGTCACAAGCAAGCATGCTCTGTGTTTACCGAAGTAAACATGGATGGTAGTGGAACTCATCCAGTGATCTTTTCCCAACCTTAAAAATTCAATCTTTTCAAGATGGTTAAAAAAAAGACTACTTTTCACATTACTTCCCGTGTCTGCATAGCAAGATGCAGAAAAGTGACCTTTGTGGAGTATTAATGACGTTCAAGTCAGATGAAGGAGACCCGGCCGTTCAGAAAAAGGTCACACTTGAAAAGATCAGATTCGTATCAGATTAAAGATCAAATAGCCAAGTGACCTGGGTCTCATTGGAAAAAATTGGATTTGCGTTGTTCAGACCGCCATGAAAAGATCACATATGGGCAAAAAAATCTGATTTTGGTCACTTCAGGCTGCAGTATGAACTTAGCTTGAGTTCTGTCTTGCCTTTGTAGCATCAGGCTGAAACTTAAAGCTGAGCTCTCCTCTACCTCTGCTACATAAATCAACAATACGAAACCTAAACTTACCCACAATTCCAGCCACTGTGGGACTTGCTCCAAGAGCCTTTACATGGTGGCTCAATAGTGGGATGATCATGCTCACCCCGAACAAGTCCTGCAGAAAACATGAGATTAAAACTATGCTCAAAACAAAACAGGATGAAAAGAATCATAAATAAACATCAAACAAAACCAGAGGTCAACACTTTTATATTCTTGAAGATGATGATCTGTTAGAGAACAAAAAGGTCTGTTTGATGAAAAGCATTTTTCAAAAAGTTCTTTTAATTGAACAAAATCTAATCTCTTGAATAAGAATTGCAGAGCATATTTGAAAACATTTAAATTAGCCAGCCCTTTATAGAACACTGCAAAGTGCTCTACAGATACAAAACAGAACAAAACAACCCTGTGATCAGATAAAAAACAATTACTAATGCTAAGATTAAAATTCTCCCACTGTTAATTTACAGTAATAAACAAAAAAGGATGATTCACTTCTATTATCTGTCATCTTAGCTAAAAAATATATATATTAAAAAACTTAACAGCATCAGATAAAGTACTAAGGAGGAGAAAAGCTACTTATTGTATCCTGAAAGATGCAGTACTTCACATGGCTGCTGAAATTAAATCAGCAGCCATGCTAATCTAACTTCATGTTTCTCAGGGCAACCAGACACACACCAAACAAACCTGCAAAGACGTCTTATAGATACATTCATGTTACATTTACAGAAATATATTTTAAATGCATATTTTTGCAAAGTAGCAAACTTGTGAAGAATATGTGATTTGCTTTTATGCTGAGTGAATATTGATGGTCACATGATGATCTGACAGCAGCTTTAATCCATGCAGGAAGGAGGAGTCAGGTGAAAAATGGAGATAATCTGCTATGTTATAATGAATCAGCGTTAAAGTTCATACAAACAGCCCTGTTAGCAGCTACATCCTGTTTTTCTACATTGCTGAGATTGAAGCAGCTTTTGCCAAACACTTAATTGGAGGCACACAGCTACTCATAGAGCTTTCTAACAGAATCCTGTTATTACATTTTTGTTACAGCTTAGGTAACATTCCTATCTTCTCCCCTTTATCTCTAGAATATATTAAATTCTCCATCTTTCATAGGGAGAATGGAACTTTTTGAGGTTTAAATTGTTTATAATCCGAGAGGTGACCCAAAACCTTCATTTAAGGAAATGATCAGGGGGTTACAGTATAATACATTTACAGTATAATCCTCTCAGGAGTTTAGCATCGTGTTGGAACATACTAGAGGTGTGAAAACAACTTAATATTCTCAGATTTCTTAATAATTTTTCTAATTACAGCAACAGGGAGGCTTTAAATTGATTTAATTTTTTGTCATACCCATGTCATATCTTAATAAAAATAAAAATTAAAAAAAAGAAGAAGAAGACAGAACTGGTTGTAATCTGCAGCTACCTGTACATATCTGACATCACACCTGAGTTATGAAACACTGTCCAGACTGAGTGTCATTGATTTAACATCTCACCCACATACCTAAAGCAGCTAAAAGACCCACAGTCCCTGACTCACCATGAAGCCCACCACATAGATACAGTGTATGATCCCCCTTCGGCTTTTCAGTTTCAGGGATAAAGTGCTACATATATGGTTGTTCATCCTCCCGCGGTGACAGCAAGCTCTCAGCCGAGGCGGAAGCTTCCATCCGGCTCGTTTGTTAGCAAACACCGTACACGTCTCTGAGCCGGTGGGCCGCTCCACCACACATTCTGAGGGGGTTCGGGTAAACCGTCTCTTGTAAGCAGAAATGTTTAAGGTAATGTATTGAAACTAATAGATTAAATGAATATATCAACTTTTAATTACACCGTCCATTTTTATTACAGGAGTAAAAGTTTATTTATTTTTTTGGGATGACCAACTCTTCATGTAGAGATTACCCCATATGTCCCGCGAACATGGTATCGCCCAATTGCGTCACAGATTTGGTTCCTTTTTCTCTGCATTGAAAACGTGTTACTATTCAATTTTTTTACGTTTTGGGTTTTGTTTAAAAATCTGTTGTTGTTTTGTTTAGTTTATTGCAATTTATCAGAATGTTACATATTTCATCTGCACTGCTGTTTTACTTTGATCAAACTAAATGTTTAAAATAACATGCTGGATTTCAGCATCTTCAATAGGACTTAAAAAAAAAATCAACACTCATTTAGTCATTAAGGACGTCTTTTTTTTTTTTTTTTTTTGGCATAGTTTTTACAGAAAAAAATGTAGTCCTAAAGCAGTCTGTACTTCAATGTCAACCAGAGGCGTAGCCAGAACCTTTTCGTACAGTAAGGGTGGCCAGGCAATAACCACTGTACACTGAGGGGTGGCCGAACCTCAGGGTCAAAATACACTGTTCCAACAGGAAAATTAATGAGCAAAACATCCACATTTTTCTAAATAAAGACAAACTATCCTTTCCTACAGCCTTTGCTAGCTAATAGACGCATATATTTAAACATTCTTTCTTTCTAGATAAAAGGTATAGTGGATAAAATAATTTCCGGTTTGAGTTCTGGGGCAAACATCTTTTCCATTGTCGTCACTTACCTACTTTTATCAATAATCATTCTGCATAAAAGTGATATTTACAAGAACTAATATCAACATAAATTGGTTATATATAAAGTTTTTATGAAAATAGTTATCTATGATTTCACTGAAGACTCCTAGATGACTTGCAGAAACATAATATTTTCTTTACCCCATACAACAAAATCTAGCTCTGAAAAGAGCATGAATTCTGTATTTATTTGTTAATGTTAGTATATTGATGTGCATAACCAAATTAACCACAGTGTTGTTGTTGTCAAGTAATTTTTGATATATGAAGATTTTTAATATTTTGAACATTCCACTTGAGAGTATTACTGCTGCCACCATCTGTATAAGAGGTAAAAAATGGCAGGGGTGGCCAGAGGGTTGGCCGCAGGGGTGGCCAATGTTTGGCTAAGGGTGGCCATGGCCACCCCTGGCCCCCCATCTAGCTCCGCCCCTGGTCAACACAGTACCAATACTGTCTCCAGTTAGAATAAACTCAGTTAAAATGTCCCAATCCTGCCAATCAAACTGCTAAAATCTAGAAGAAGCTGTTCAGCAGATAAGCCTGCTTCTTCCTGCTGTCTTGGTCTTTTACTCACAGGCTTTTCAAGGACAGTTTTAGTCATTTTTGTCTCTGATTTGTTTCAAATCATAAACACAACCCTAATGTTCAGTTTCCCCCCAGGCCTTAAAAACAACAGTTATCAAACTGATTTTGAAAAAGAGAAGCTTGGACAAACTAATCTTTCAAAACTACACAATCTCAAGCGTCCTCTTTATCAGTAAGATTATTGAAAAGTTGTGTTTCAACAGTTAAATGTCTTCTGATTAATGACCAGCTGCTTTGATGTCTTCCAGTCAGGTTTCCATGCCAACACATTACTGAGACTGCTCTGATTAGTGTGTTAAATGACACACATATAAATCCAGACTCTGGAAGATCCAAAGTACTTGTATTACTGGACCTCAGTGCAGCATTTCGTACTGTTGATCACTTGATTTCATTAGAGCATCTGGAAAACTGGGTTGGCCTTTCTGGTTTAAATCCAGTTGAATCCTACCTAAAGGACAGACACTTTTTTTGTGTGAGTATGGAGCTTTATATCAGAGTCCAGAAAAATCATATGTGGGGTTCCTCAAGGCTCCATTCTGGGGCCTTTCCTATTCAACATCTACATGCTCCCCTTAGCTGAGGTTATAGCAAACACCAAGGCAAGTTACCATAACTATGCAGATGACACACAGCTTTACATGACAGTGTCACCAGGTGACTATGAATCCATCAGAGCACTGGCTAGATGCTTAGATGCTTAGAACAGATAGATGCACCATAATTTTCTCCAACTGAATAAAAACAAAACTGGTAATAATTTTCAGACTTTTGTGGCCCAGCTTTGATGGCTCAAAAAAGTGAAAATCCACAAAGGCCACAGATGCACCATGGACTTATTTAAGGCAGGCAAAAGAAAAAATGTTCCAGATAAACTCCTTTAGTTTTGTCAGTTTATTTTTTCCTCAGGCAAGCAAACAAAAAGACAAACATTTCCTCCATGTTTCTCTTGCACTGGTAAAAAAAACCATAGGCCCACCCAGATGCATGCTGGTCCTACAATTGACTGCCTATTTATAAAAAATAATTAACCTAAATTAATTATAACTAACCAAAAATAAAGGAACATGACTAAATAACCAAAAAACATAATTTCATAACAGATATTAGACAATTAAGTAAAATAAACTTAGCTAGATTATGCACAAAAACAAAGCAGGAAAGATCCAGAGTTTGCTTGCAGCTTCAGCTACTACAGCTAAAAACCACTGATCATGGCCAAAGTCTTGGTGTCATGATGCGCAAAGACCTGGACTTTAAAATCCTTCTGTCAGTCAATCACGGAATGGATCAGCAGCTAAATACATAACAGATTTGTTGTCAGTGTATCAACCTCCCAGACCACTCAGGTATTTTAGTTCCAGCCTAGCCAGTCCACCCAGAACTAGAAAACCCATTTGTTCAGAGCTGCCTTTGAATGTTGAAGTAAAACTGTTAACTGAGGTATAATTAGTTTACGTTTTGGGTTCAACTGTTTTGTTTGCTTTACTACTTGCTTTTCATTTGTTTTTAATCTTTATTTGCCTTTATTCTACTTTTATTTTTCTTAGTTTGTACTGTATAATTCATGTAAAGCACTTTGAATAGTCCTTGTATAGAACTGTGCTATATAGATAAGCTTGCTTTGCCTTTATGTACCATGAGATTTTGCAAATAATGTGAAATTACAAAGTTTGTAAGAAATGACACATATTTTTTAAAATGATCATATATGTATCAGAAGGACCAGAAAACAAAACCCAACAGTAGGTTCATTTTATTAACTTTGATTTATATTGAAATGAACTAAATAAATTGAAAGGAACTACGATGTCAAACCATCATGAAATAGATTACAGTTAATTAAAATCTACTTTTGTCCTCCCAAAGAAGAAAAGTAATAATAATAACAATTTGTGCTGACCTCTTGTTTTAAGAGGGAAATGTAAAAGTCCCTAAAAAGTGGTCTAAATCCTCCAAAAAAGTCACAACTGCTGCTCAAGGCTCACTAACAAGACAAATTGTAGACAACGTTAGGACAATTAAGGCTTAGAACCGCAAACGCCTAATTTAACATGTGCTAGTTAACAAGTTAATAATATAAGTAACATAGATTTCTCTCTCTTTTTTTTTTTTTTACTGATTCTAGATTCAAAGCACAATAAATTATTTTTACTATATATTGTTATGGTTTTCTTCAATGCTACTATTAATAAAGATTGTTTAGGTTTGTCTGCCCCCTGCTGGTTTATAAGATGATTGCTCCTTTTGAAATTATTGCTATTTTCTGAACACAGACTTTTAACTAATGGTGAAGTAAGATATTGAAATTATGTAAAACTATTTAATAAATACAGCAGAAAAAAAAGTCAAATTGTAAATAAAAACATAAGACAGGACCTCAGTTAGAGAACGTTCAAAGTAATGTGTTAAATGCCCTCAACAAAGCCAGACTTGGCATTTGGTTATTTTTAAAGGTTGAAAATTTCATTCCCTGAAGTGAAAATAGCAACAACCTCATGCAAACAAGCAGTTATTAAGGGTATAGGCCTTATTTTCTACATATAGAAGTGAGGCCTGTTTGGATTTTCCATACGTGTAGGCACATTGTAAACTTTAACTCTGCTCCTGCTTTCCAACTTCTCAGTTTGAAAGTAGAGAATAAAAATGCTAAAACAACCAGGGTACACATATTTTTGGCAGCAGATATGTGTGAAAAGAAAAAAAGAAAGGAAAAAAGACAGAACCACAAAAAAGAATAGACAAAGTCAGGTTTTTGTTTACCATGTAAACTGAGGTCTGATTAAAGATAAATCTTAGAAACTTTACAAAGCTGCCCATTTACAGAAATGTAAAACATAAAAATAGAATTAGGATGAGAATCTTGCTCTGTTTCGATTTTGACAGAGAGATACAGTATTCTTTGCTTTGATAAGTTTTCTGCTGTTGCTTAGGCACAAGCAAACTTATGCAGAAAAGAGTGAACTGGTCACATGAGTGTGCTAATTGGAGAATGCTCATATGTGGACTCACTGCTAAATATTTGTGCTTATGGAGGCTATGAGGGGACTCATGACATGTGCAAAAGCGGTATTGAGAAACAACTATAAAAATATTTGCAGGAAAAGGGGCTAAAAAATGTAAAGCACAGAGACAAAGGCAGTCATTGTAAGTGGCCAAGAAAACAAAGTAGAGAAGCAAATAAAATGTGAGACAGTCTCTAAATGGAAAATCTAAAACAACTGATTACACAGCAAACTAACTGGCAAAGGAGAAAAGGAAAAAAAAAGATACTTTTCAAGATAGAGTATATGCCTGGATGACTGGCTTAATTACTCATTTCATTCACCTGTCTAATTCAGCCCAGTTTCTCGTTACTGTTCATCTGATCCACCTGCTCCTGCTTCTATTTAAACAGCTCTCTAACCAGTCATCAGCACCAGATTATTCTCTCGAGCCAGTGGTGAGAGCGTCTCAGTGTTACCTTAGGGTTTCTCATTACCTGATCCTGAACTGTTCTGCCTCTCAACTACTGAGCCCTCCTGTTCCCATCTGACCTGTTTTAACCTGCCTGCTTCCAGTCATCATTCAAGATTATTCTCGAGCCAGTGGTGAGAGTGATTCAGGGTTACCTTGGCTTAGGGTTTCTGATTACCTGACCTGTTCTTCCTCTATTCCACTGAGTCTGCCTGTTACCGCCTGATCTTTTTTGCCTGACCTGTCTATGGACTCCTGCTGTTTTCTTTTTAAGATTTCATTTGTTTTATTGAATAAATGGCGATTCCACTTCATTTTTCCTTACCTTCAGCATCTTTAATCTACTCTAATTAAAAAAACTACAACACCTAGACACTCCTTTCTCTGATTTGTGAAACTTCAACAAAGTTCAAACTTTGTTGCCTTAATTTTTTTAAGTAGACAACGGTCAAACTTTTCTGATTGCACACAGTCGGATAAGAACTTCATTAGGACCATGCTGAATATGATCGATTGGCTTTTAATATCACACATTTTTAGTTCAATCTGTGTAATTTCATTACTCATGTCCATGTAAACATAACTAAAAGTTACTGTGATAACACATAATCTAGAGCATAGTGGGTCACGTTCAGTTGTTTTTTGAGCATGCTGGTTACTTGCCTCTCCCTGTTCTATCTGCTTCCAGTCTGTTCAGTTGTGATCTGCCCTCCCAGGCCTTCAATCAACCAGTTCAGCCTGTCACCAGCTGGTTCTACCTTCATCTGCCAACTCAAGCTTGCTACCAATTCTTCTGACTTCATTCATGTCATTTCATAAAAAACTACTGTCAATAAACTTTTTAAACACACTGGGAATATTGTTTGGATTTGAGTATCATCTAGCTTGCATTATATCAACCAATTTCTGTTTATCTTGGGCAGAATAAAGAATGATATTTAGGAAGCCTCCCCTGCTTCTCTCCAAAAAGACTGTCTAGAGTTTTATAGATCCTTAATTCCTGCAGTATTCTTACATATGGCTTAAACTTTTTTTTTTGGCTACAGCTTTTGAAGGAAGAACAATATTGAACAATCCAAATAAATAGCAAAAAGCAACAAATAAAATAATATCTGATTAGGTGGGACTTATGTTATGTAGAAGCTTTTCTTTGAGTGGGTAGATTTTGTCTTGAAATTAAGAGCAAGTAAAAGTAAGAAAGCTAAAAGTTAGCAAAAACCTATGACCAAAGTTGGGAGAACATACAGAAAACTCTGGCTCTTAGCTTTAAAACTCAATGTCCTCAGGGGCATCATCACCTTGTTGTGCTGCAGGGGAGAAAAGATTTGTGTTGTTGAATTATCTTCTCCTTTGCTGCTCTTTCAGTCTCACCCCACTCAGACATTCCCTCTGCGTTTAGATGCTGGGTGTCCAGTTGCCTAGTTATTTCTGTTAATCCCCCTCCTCTCTCACTCTCAGAATGCTCCATGTATTCAGCGCCACATTGGAGAGGAGCAGCCGCCTTCAATCAGATGTCAAAAATAGCCCAGGGGAAGGGAGGGGGACTGGGCTGGCTTCGGACCCCATTGGAAGGTCCAAGGGAATCATGTGGACAACTTTGTCCTCCCATAACACAGATAGTGAAGAGGACTGAAGATCTCGTAACCCAGTGAAACATAACTGAACAGGGTAGAAACCCATCAAACTAAGTGTTTTTGAATCTATAAGGAAGGAAACCAGGTTTGAGGATCTAGAGAGTGGAGCATGAAGCTTAGCGTGGCATTGTGTTTTGCTGGGGTCTTTGGGGCTTTGGCAGCCGTGTTTACCTTCCTTTCTTTTGGAACTGATTACTGGCTTATAGGCTCAGAAACCTGCAGCCCAGACAGTAAAGACTCTGAAGACAACGGAGGACTGACAATAACGGTGAGTTCTGGACTCTAAACAGATTCAAATCAAATCATTTCAATATGTCTCAAATAGTATTAAAGTGACACTACTACCTAAACAAGAACTTTATTTTTTTCTTTATATATAAATACAAATTTATATATATATTTATATTCTCTATATTTATGTCACTGTATTAAATTAAAGTTATCGGCTCAACTAGCCACCGACTTTAAACTAGATATACAAATCTGCTCTTAAAGACAGTGATCAGCTGTCCTGATTACGTTTTCAGCAGCTGGACTGTAGAGGGAGGGATCCCTTCATGTAATCTGACTCTGTTTAATGTAGAGTGTGTGCAGATATGCAGTGATTTAGACAGAGCTTGTACCATGTGCCTCCAAGATAGAAATACAAGTCCCTGTAGTCACAGAGGTATGATGGTGTATTATATATCACCGAGTAGAACATACTTATCTTTCCTGCTTCCACACTGGGAGCTTGTAGTGACAGCAACACTGGCCAACAGGGCAATAAAACCAATGTGGCGTTGGGTATGCATGCTACATGGAGATGTATTACAAGTCTAGTCACTTATGAAGCTTTAAGCTTTAAAAGATAGATAACTGTACCTTGATTTATTTTATTTTATTTATTATGTTACAAATGCAAACTGAAATTTATTTGATTGGAATTTTATGTGACATGGAAGGGAACCAAATATAGAATTCAAATGTATAAACTGCCTTGGAATAAAAAAACTAAAATCATAAAACTAAGACATTTGTTGATATTCAGTCCTCTTTATCCAGATACCCATTAAACACTATATTGTAACCAGTAAATATGCTTTTTAATTAGATAATAATAGACTCATATATTGTTTGTGAACATATGCCCTACTGCCTGTGTGTTAGAACAACAATGAAAGTGTGAATCGAGCTCAAATCATGGTCAAAAAGATAACTCTGCACATATATGGAATAAAATCACCACCACTTTCATCCAAAATATGAGTTTATTAGCAGAATTCCTTCACCTCTAAGTAAAACATATTTCTGTGTAAAAATCTTGACTAAAACTAGTGGAACTCAATTAGACTAAAAAAAGAAGGAAAAACAAGGTTGAAAACCACAATCATCTGAGATGATGCAATTATATCTCAGTTTAACATTGATTTTATAATCTTGAAGAATTTTGAATGTGATCAAATTAGCGTTTGATTAATTTAGAGCAATTGGAATGTGTTCAAACAAATTCACAGTGCAAATCCAATCAGTAAAGTTTTATTAGATAGTTTGCTTAATCAATAACCTTTACTTGATTAATCTTTTTGATTGACCTTATAGCTGGTAAACATGGACTCTCATTAAATTAGTTTTGATCATATTTGGTAATCAAATTCTAATGAGCATATGAGAAAACCCTTGAACAATTATGTTATATTAGTGTTTAAACCCTTAGCTAAATAAAGCTTGTTTTAGCTTTATAAGCAAGAGCTCAAACATGTTGTTTCATTTAGTTAACTTCTCTTTACCCAACAGTAAAAACAGAAAATGATCAAAAATCAAAAAGACATATTGTTTAATTGGAAATCTGTTTCTAAATATGCAAGACCTCTACCTCTGCTGACCCCTTTGGAAGATTTGAGTTTTTTTTCTCCAGCATCTAGCAGCATAGCAGTGGGTCACACACATTAGGGGTTTGCTTTGCTCCATGTACCACACATAAGGGAGGCTCCCCTCCTCCAGCCTTTTCAAGCATCTGAAAGTTTATGAACTCAAAGAGAAACATTGCAAACCATCTGTTTTGCAGAAGTTGTGTTCTAAATGTCAGCCATCAGTTGCACTTAGCCTATGGTTAGATGCAGCCTCTGCCCCCTAGACATGGGCCATAGTGGTGTCTCCAATGTGAACTGACCACTTCTGAAATACCCCTTTCCCACTGGCCAAAAAACCAGTTTAAACCCAGTAACAATCGGTTTTTAGTGGCAGTGGGAACAGCTCACTGACGTGTGTCTAACCGGGTCAAATGACTCGGCAAGCGACCCATGTGAAAATCACCTCAGCTTTGTTCGACATGCTGTGGGAACACCAGACCTGGGTTGAAACATTAAATTACATGATGCCATTAAGCCCAACATACGGATATCAACTCACCCCGCCAGTCACGTCTGATCTACCGAGCTGAAACAAATCTGTTTATATTCGATAAACAACGCACAGCACTGGTAAGAGGGAGTAGGACAGATAAAAGAGCAAAACAATAAAGCATATACGGGCTTCTTTACATGTTGCTCTCCATTGTTTACTTTCCTGATTCCCGTTCCACGGATGATATCATTAACACTAACCCAGTGTGATAGAGTCAGCAGGAACACAGCAACGGGGAGGACAGATGCCATGTAGTTTGCAAGTTAGTGGTTAGACCTAGCTTTTTTTTGCCAGTGGGAAGAGAGCCAAATGCCGTTTGGTAGCAGGTCATCCAATGTTTGAAAAACATTCTTTAACCTGGTATTTTCAGTGGGAAAGAGGCTAAAGAGTAAGAGAAAAGCCTAAGACAGTAGCTTTGACATCAAGGCACCATGGGAAGCAAAGGTACAAATCTATAGGAGAGTCTTGTGATAGTGTCTTGGGCCGGGGGAGGGTTGCAGAAGCTTTAGTGTCCAAACAGCAGGCAAATCTTATTCCTCCTAAACCAATGGTTATGTTTAATATAAAGCATGGATATTGGTTCGTAATGTCCAAAATTATTATTGTGGTTTATGGCACAAGAACTGAACTCTGAGAAAACTGCAGAAATCGTAAGCTTTTGTAATTTTATAAAAGGACAACACCTTCTTGAAAGATGGTGGCAGCATTATGCATTGGGAGGAATGACGAGGAAAAATCGATAGAACTGGATTTAGAGTGATAGTTGAAGAATACATCCAGATTTTAGCCTTTCAGCGTAGCAAAAACCCTACATATTCAGCCAGAAGTACAAGGAAATATTTTCAATCAAGACATTGATGCATGTTGGAATTCCCCAGGTTAAGCTATAGACTTAATTCAATTGAAATTATATAAAGAGCATAAGTCAGAAAAGCTTTTGCAAATTTTTACTTCTATGCTATACTTTGTAATAATCTTTAACACCAGTTCTATTCACATTAATTAAAGATGTAGATCAGTGTATATGAACATATTTTGAGGACACAGAGGACCTACCTGCCTTAACATGTTAAGTATGTCTACCTATAATCTTTTTCAAATGACTGAATATTGCTTGTTCACCACAATTATTTTTATTTTTTTTTATGTGACAACAAAAGTGAGAAAACCATTCTCACTATTTCTGCTAAATATATATGAAATCCTGAGAGCTCAGTTGGCACCAAGAAAGACCAACCAGAGGTTAATGAGCCTTGCTCAGCTCAACCTTTGACCTGCCTTAGCAGCTGCTCTCTGACAGAGTGGCAGCAAATGCTACAACCATATTTCATGAGTTCAACATGACGACAAAATACAAATTAAATACAGGGTTTTGAAGACATGTACCAGCAAAAAAAAAAAAAAAAAAAGCTGAAAAAATTATAAATAAATAACAATTTAAAAAAAAAAAAAAAAACCTGAAAAAAATTATAAATAAATAACAATTTAAATAATAATGACAATCTGAAATATGTGATGTGCATTGGTATTAAACATCTTGTACTGATAACCGTAAATAAAACCATTGCATTGTGTTTTAAAAGTTTTCAAGAGGCACTGTATAAACTATGAAGTGCAGATACGTAAACATATTCCTTATATACCTTAATTTCAACCTTTTTGTGCATTTTTTTTCAGCTAGCTGCAGATGTGGTGCACGACGAAGGCGGTGATACAATTTCATATCATTCTGGTTTCTTCTGGACTTGCTACTTTGGACAGATGTTTGATAGCAACTTAAACAAGACGGCAGCAGTTGTGTTCTGTGAGTGAGCAACAGTTCTTTTGTTAGACCTAGCCTCTTTTATCACTAAGCTTACATCTTTTTGAAACGTTAAGAGGAGTTACTCCTGTTTCAGATTAATTTTACCTTAGTGTCCAAAAACCCTTAGACATTTAAATGATCTCACTGAAAAATTACTGATATTTAATTCTTTTATATATATTATTTTGATGATTTATCATTATTATTTTTAATTATTTATGTTGCCTATATGCCACTGCAAAGTACTTTTCTTCTCAGGTAAAACTCTTTGAACTGTTGTGCTACTAAAATGTGCTATATGAATAAACTTGCCTTGTCTGTTAAAACAAGTTTGATAAAGAATCGACAGACTCTTCAGAAAACTAATACTTACTGTAGATTACTTGAAAGGTGCAATTAAAGTAAAATCATCTTATAAGAAGTTGGTCAATTGTGTGCCTTATTTCTTTGTCACCCTAAGCTGAGGTTAAAAAGTGTCATCAGTTCCTACAGAGTAGGAGTAGATTATTTAAGTCTGTTATCGTCGATAGAATTCCCCCTAACTTCTCATGTGACTGGTTGAAGGAGGCAGCTTCATGTGATGTTATTCATGTTGCCTATCAGCTGGTTGTGTGTCATCTGCTTTTTTAATGGTGACTTTGAAAATTGAAACTATAACCAGACATGGTCTCTGAAGTTATAATTTCAGAATTTCAAACAAGTTATAACTATGAAAAGCATCAACTAGGTAATGAAAAGTAGGTTGCATATCTTTAAGTAAAAAAAAAAAATTAAAAAAAAAATGTTGTAGGTTATCAGATTAGTAAAACTAATTTCTGTTAACTTGGTTTGATGCATCCATTAGTTATGGTTTAGAAATATGTGCATATCTTTTTTTTTTCTGCAGCAAACAAGAATTTTGTAAAAGCCTGCTACCCTTCCTACCTGTACCCATTCCCCCAGGAAAGTCCTACCAACAACACAACAAATGATAATTCAGCTATCAGTAAGTACTATCTATACAATTAAAGAAATGATGCAGCTGTTCTGAGCAGCAGGTTAACATCTCATCTGTTTAGTCTACAGAGGCTTCTGGAGTGTCTTCATGCTTATTAGTGTGGCGACGGTAGCTATTGGAGGGTTCCTCATAATCTGTGCGGCTCCTTTTGCTAACCACTGCTTGTACAAAGCAGGAGGTGGACTCTTCTTGACATCTGGTGAGTTTAATCCAGGGTATAAAAAATAAAAGCCATCTCCTGGAGTGAATATGAACAGGAAAGGTATTAATGTGCATAACTCTCTAAAGATCATGAATTAGTAGAAATCAAACTTGTATCCTGGCATAAATTAACCCATCTTCAGTTTAATTTACTCTTTCAAGCTAATCAATAATGGCTATAAAAAAAAGATGTCTTATTCTTATTTTTGTGTTGGTAAAATAAGGTCAAGTTCTATCTAATACTCAAGCTAAATAGCGAGACAAACAGGCTTTTTTATTTTAGGATGTTTAAGACTAGTGTTCTTTCCTATAAGAATTCAAAGTGAGCTAAAAGGTTGCAGGACTGTTTAAATGTAAGATGCAGAAGGGTTTACAATTTTGATTGTCTAAGTCAGACAAAAGGGAAAAGAAAAACACAACAGAAGGTTTAAGTTTGTCACCTTTCTACATCTGATTGCCACCAATACACTTTTTTTTTTAGGCCAATACAGTAGTATTGCAGGGTTTTACTAAAAGAAAATTATAGTTTAGCTTTTTGATGCACATAACATGACAACCTGTGAACACCATCAAAAACAATGATGTGTTTTAGAAGCTATTCTAATTATTCTTGACTTTACGTGAGGTGGACCCACCTTATTGTTGGCCAGCAAACACCTTTTTTCTTACTACTGCATTTGTTGTTTCTGCAATGGATATAGCACTTAGACTTAGATTTATTTGTCATTTTGTTTACACAAGTGTAAAACAAAAAAGAAATTTCATTTAGAACAGCTCTGTAGACATTTTTTTGTTAAGTTCAGCCTTGAAAAACAGTAAAAATATATATAAAAACGATAATACAAACATATGACTGTAAATTTACAGTTCTAACATTTCAGGTTTTTTTTCTTTCTTCTTTTTTTTTATTTTTACTTTTAGCTCACTTTTGATTCACATTTACATGGCTGAGGTTTAGTTGTCTCTGTGTCTTCGAACACTGGAGCCATCACAGGTGACTGATTACCCAGAGATCAATTTTGAACTACTTATGGCAAAAGTTGACAGAAGAAAGAAAATCCTAAGAAAATTTGGACTACCTGTGTAATATCTGAGATAAACATAATATACTGATGCAGGATATAAAATTAGGCTTTGTGAAGCTAGATTTTAAGATTTCGTTTTGTATACACTGTGTATGTACAAAATGACAATAAAGTCTAACTCTAAGTCTTTAAGTCTAAGATGAGAAAGACGTTAAATTACTAAACTAGTTCATTGTGGATAAATAATGAGGTCATCCATATGCTAAAGGGGACAGAGGAGCAAAGGCTGGTTGTTGGGAAAGTTCAACCAGTTAGATTTAAAGGTGAAAACATTACAGAGCTAGAATTGAGTATTATGTTCAGACCATCGTGTCCAGACACCCATGCTTAGAATGAAACTTTGCAAGATTCAAGTCTCACCTCTTTTCTTCACCAACAGGTTTTTTCCTGCTGGGTGTTGTGGTGATGCATGTGGTGTGGCTTCAGGCCCTGGATGTGATCCAAACCTACATTGAACACAGTCGCTCTCACCATTGTCCAGACTTCACACTGACCCTAAGCTACGGTCTGTCCTTTGTGTTTGCCCCCATCGGCGTCCTCTTCTCCTTCTTGGCGGGCCTGCTTTTTCTGCTCATCGGTCGAACTGTTCGGATCCACCACTGAATGAAAAGCTTACTGTTTTTACTCATGCAAGATGCTGTGTCAATTGGACGTTCTGTTTTAATCTGTTAAATTTGAACACACTGATCTGAGAGAAACATTTTGTTTTGTTTTCTTATGTGGAGCTAATAGAAGTCAGCCTGAGAAAGAGTGCATTTGAAAAGTAGCTATACCCTTAAAAATTTTGAGGTTTCTCTTATAACCTAAAACTTATAAGTTTTTTTTGTTTATCTGTTTTTTATCTTTGTGTGACATATCCAACACAGATTAGTACATAAAAGTGAAATGCAAAGAAAGAGAAATGCATTTCTAAAAATAAAAAATGAAGAAAGTGTGGTGTGCTTTTTATGTGCTATAAAATTGGAGTTGAAAGGATTATGCTGTAGGGAACCTGTAAAATACAAATAATCCCTAGGAGACATACAAGACTTAAAGTGATGAAAACAATTAATTTTCAAGCTTAGATCCTGTTCTAAAAGTAAGATGGTTGAGATCAGGACAAATATCTGTTCCATTAGCCCAGTCAAAGTGAGCTTGTGGCAGTAAATGACAAAATCAATTTTCCCTTAAATAGTCTATATGAATTCATATAGAGGTAGGTAGGATCTGCAAGGTAATTGCAGCAAAAGGGGATTTTACAAATTATTGACCTCTAAATGCTGAATATGAATGAATAACATACTTCTCGATTATTATATTTAGAAGATTTTAAATGTCAGGAATCAATATTTCTTCTTCACTTCTCTATTATACAGTATGTTTGTTTGTCAGTCATATAAATAATAAGAATTGTCCAATAAGGAATACTGAGATTTATGTCTTTAAGAGTTGTAAAATCATTTGCTCAAGGCTCTCATAAGTAACTTTAAATATGATACCGATTGTGTAGGAATTGTGTTTTTTTTATTATTATTATTATTATTCAACTTATTGAAGCTTCATTTTGGACTTATTGAATACGTTTCTGTATGCATTTCTTATTTGATAGAATTACGTATCCGAGGCTTGGTCTAGGATTATCCTTGTACATTTTCCAAGCATTTTTAGCTGTGTATTTGCGACTGTGTTAAGCAACAATGTCTATAGGAGCTTCAGTAAAGGAGCATGTTGGTTTGTGTAACTGTGTGGTTAAAGTGAGACCTGCTTTCTTCAACATGTGATTATAAGAAAGTATTAGGTAAAAGAGCTTGGGTTGTTTAAGAGATGTGCTGTTTGCTTTATGCACAGAGCTATAAGTAGCCTTTGTTTGAAGTTATATATTGCTACTTTTGGTCCAGCTTTTCATCACTGAAAAACTTTTAATAGACTATGTAATATAGAAAATTATTTTAAGTCTATTTGCATCTATTATATTATTTTCTGAAGAGTCATGGGATTCATGATGAAGATAAAATGGTAAAGTTTTCTGGTGACATCACTCCAATATGATGACATCACCGGGCAAGTCTGGGGTGACTCCTGTCTGAAGCAACAGTTTTATGTTGACACTGTTTTACACTATTTGCTGCAAATAATGTTATTGCCACTCCAATAAAAGTGTGCTCTATGTTACTGCATATCTTTCAGTGTGTCATGATGGGTATCTGGTTACTAGCCCACATGCAGAACACAACCGGAGACAGGGTAAAAGTTCAAAGGTTTATTTAAACACACAGGTTTGAATACAGAACTGGTTCAGGGGATTTTCTGGTCCAGGACTGGTTACGACTGATTCTCACTGTTCAGAGGTTTGAGCAGAGCGGTAGAGGGGGAAACCTGGAGGGTCCAGAGGCTGACGGCAGGCTGAGGGCTGACAGGTTTGATTCTCCAGGGTTCTCCCGTGATCAGACAGACTGGTTTCAGACAGAGAAACTCTTCCTGAGTATCAGGTAATCAGGGAGTCTAGATTCAGGCAGGCAGATTGGCTCAGACTTGCTAACCATAACTGGCAAAACACTCTGGCGCTGGNTCCTGTCTGAAGCAACAGTTTTATGTTGACACTGTTTTACACTATTTGCTGCAAATAATGTTATTGCCACTCCAATAAAAGTGTGCTCTATGTTAGTGGATATCTTTCAGTGTCCTGTTTGGCTTAAAAAATCATAATCCTCAAAATAAATAAATAGGTCTTTTTTCAGCAGGTATAAATGTTAAGTAAATAATAAAAAAAGACCCACTTTCAAGTAGAGTGGTTAAGTAACAAGTTCATGCTTCCTTTAAGTCCCAGACTTTTACATATTTGTGCTTTTAAAGGTGTTCTTTTTTCATATTTATGGGCTATGGACCAATCATGGTTGTCAAACTTTTTACTGTTTACTTAAATAAGAGAGTTTAGTGTTAAAAAAAACAATTACTCACGGTATAAATGCAAATATTTTCTTTTATTTAAAAATTTGTATAAATAGCAAAATGAAGAAATTTGCAGGACTAAATAATAGTTCTTTTTTTTTTAGCCACGGAAAATGTACTAAGGATTAATTTTAAATTATGTGTCTATTTTCAAATTCATATGCAGTGCAGTTCTTATAAATTTGTTTCTATCAATACTTCTTGTATGTATTTTCGCTCTTAAAAGTCTTGGATCAGAAACAAATATTACAAATTGGTAAAAGCCCTTATTTCTGCTAACACTGATTATAGCCCCAATGACTCCAAGTTGAGGTACAATCTAAAGAGCCGTTTTCAGCTTTATTGCCACAAAATTAAAATTATGAAAGGCTGCAAAAAACTATGTAAAAATACACTTTCATTCTATTGGCTTATATAATTTCAGACTAATTATTTCCCATTTGCAAGTTATGATTACAAAAATATATGTATATTTGCCTAATGCCAAATATAATATTTTTTTATTACTTAATTTCTCAAATTGACATTCACAAATACTTCATTTGATCAATATAGGAAAACACAGATTGTGATATCATGGATATTCATGGATTTGATCAGTTAGTTTACCATGCCTAAATTCACTGAAGGCTCAGCTGAAAATGTATTTTAATGCAATACCTCATAAACGGTTCCACCTTGTTTGAGATTTTTGAAAATAGTCTAAAGAAAATTCCGCAAAGACACAAAGAAGTGAATTGTGGACCACCACAAACCTGCTTAAACTTTTTGAAACAACTACCTAATGCTTGAAAGCTTTATACTCACTATTCAAACATTTACACAGAGATATAAACTCCATGGGCTGTATACAGCAACTTTTCTGTTCCGACAGGATATATTAATTTTAGGGGGTTTGTTTCCATAAAAATCGACATGTTTTGGTGGTAAAAGTATAATTTCCAAAGTAACAGTAAATGGTCTGTGAAGATGCTGGCTAATGCAAGGAAAATAGTCACCATCCAAAGTTAAATCAGTTCCATTTGGACATCATCTCAAAAGAAGAAGTCAAGAAAGAAGCCGTTGCTCAAAAATATGGCAGATTATAGTTTGAAATACATGTATGACATAAGACTGAGGCGTTTTGCCATAATAGACATTTCTAAAACGAGGAACATTCCATTGCTCTTAATACTATCTTAACTATGGGGTGGCACTATGTTGTTTGCTGCACCTCTCAGAAACAGAACAAAACCAACTTTTCTCAAGATGTCATCTATATTTCTAAGCACCATCTCAAGAATTTACTAGGATGTCAAAGTTTGGGTGCAAATAGTTTGTCCCAATGGAAAAATAAAAAAATGTTGTCAATTAAAAATGTGCATATGAGCATGGTCTGGCGACCTCCAAGACAGGATGGTCTCAGGACCAAAATTTGAAGGAGCAGAGAAAAAAATATTCTCTACAAATATTTGGTGGATTGTAAGCTGATAAGTCTGAAAACCATCTTATTAATTAGCCAGAAATAAATTCCATTAAAGTCTAGAGCAGGATTTATTGGCTACAATAGGATTATCAGCAATACATATCTAACTATAAGAGATGTACATAAATCTCCTTTTTATTTAGTGTAAACAGAGTAATCTGAAACTAGTTTTCCAATCAGACTAGGGAAAACTGGATACCCACCATCTTTAAGAAATATATAAAAAATTACAGCAAAAAACCACAAGCTCTTAAAAAGAAAACTATTATATCAATGATCAAACCTTTATAATGTCTTTCATATATTTTTGAAAACCATGACATTTTCCAATTTTCTTATGATGTTCTAAGTCATAAAGGAAGCTCACTAGAGATTTAATATTACAAAAAAGAGGCCCTTGCCTGAAATATGGTGATATCAAAAAAGTAAGAGAAGTGATAGACCACCAGATGGCAGTGCTTTCGTAGGAGTTTCCATATGTTGGCCTTCAGAGGGAGAGGGAGAAATCCCATTTTGCCAATCTGAGGCCTGTGTGGAGAGTATGTGGCGTTATGCATTTAATTACAACTTCAGAGCTCAGATCTGTAGATGAAAGAATTCACACCTTGGCTTGACAGACTATGGTAATTTCACTCATGAATGGAGCATTTGATCAGGATCTGAATGTACTCCTGTGTTGATTCGTGTGCGTCTGCATCAACTCTGTGCCTTTCAAGACTTATAATGTACTTATCACAGGCGGGGAAATGCATCTGCAGTTTGCCTCAGAATGCTGGAGGGAGTGACACAATGTGAGGTGCTGATTATTTTTGTGAAACTGACTTTACCCCACACAAAAGACCCAAATGATGGAAGTTTCCACTTTTACATTTTTGAGATTTTCTTTGTAATTACTGCCCTTCGTTCTGTTCTGCATCATCTTCAGCTGAGCCATGTGAGAATCCAACCTCTACAGATCAGGTGGACAAATGACAATAAAATGTAGGATAAGATCATTGGATTTGTCCTGTTTGAGGTGAGAGTTGTCCTTCCATACAAGTCACTTCTATAAAAAAAATATTTCTTACATTTTGGACCTCTTGATTTAAATAAAATCCTAATTTGATTAATAGAAAACATGTGACTAATTTTTTCAAGCATACCCAAGTAATACAGGATGATTAGGAGGGAGAAATGAGTAAAAGGTGGAGGTATAATGCATGAGCTGAGCAGCCTGGCTGCTGGAGAAGTGGGGCCTTGCAGTCGGTAATGTCATCAGAGTGGGAGTCCCAGCTGAATTCAGCACTGTTCTGCATGATTGCCCATGATAATTGTGTGTTGATAGGGAGCGCCGGAGATGGAGTATAATTTCCACCGAGAGATTCC